GGGCGCACGGGCCTAGTGCATTACCTTCTAAACATGAGATTTATTGAATAAAAAGTAGTATACTCACAAAAGAATAAAATCAAAGGCACATCACAAAAAAGACAGCATGGTCCAATCTCCCTAGATGGTGGCTGTTGGGGGACTGTAGGCCTTCAAATGGCTGACATGTTTCGAGGCAGAACCTCTTCTTCAGAGCACAATCGGTCTCATCTCAATCGGTAGAAGGTAATGCATTAGGCCCGTGCGCCTTCTGTTTGTTTCATTGCACACAACTCCTTTGGATTTCCCTGGTCCATTGACGGCAGCAAGGCTTGCATTCCCAAAAAGTACTCCATGTGGGGTTACTGACATTGTGGAGCTCATCGTCCAGCACAGGAGTTACAGCATTCGTTTGCTCATGCTTTTTTATCACTATGAAGGGTTCCCGTTGGGCTTGTGGGATTTTATGGTAATGGGAGGAGTGGGAATGGTCCCCCTAGAAGGATAAATGGGACACCAATGTGGAATACCCCACCATCACTGCAATACCCCAAAGCAAATGGATGACCTAGTCCATCTTCCTCCATCTACACTAGCTATTCTCAACCAGGGTTCCTTCAGAAGTTGTTAAGGGTTCCTTGAGAACAGAGCAGTGGTAGATTGCTCTCCTGTCCTCACCAATGTACACCATTTAGGGACTGCAACCCAAACACATATTAATGACACAGGTTCTGTGGTTGATTGAGGTGGTAATTAAACTCACTTAATGTCTTAACTGCAGTAAATCAGCCACAGAACCTGTGTAATTAATATTTGTTCGGTTTTAAAGGGATGAGGTGGCAACCCTAACACCAATGCCCCCAATGTATGGGGTAATTTTTTTAATTTTTATGTAAGGGGAATGGACCTGATACAGAAGTGGAAATGAGACTCTAACTGGAAATACTCCACCATCACCGCAATACCCCAGAGACACAAAAAGCAAGTTGGTGACCAAGCTATTCTCAACCAGGGTTCCTTCAGAAGTTGTTAGGGGTTCCTTGAGAAGAGAGCAGTAGTGGATTGATCTCCTGCCCACACTGAGGTACACCAATGCCACCAATGTATAGGATCACTATTTATATTTATGTATATTATGTAGAAGGCAATGGGAGGAATGGGAATGGACCTGATGTAGAAGGGGAAATGAGACCCCAACTTAAATACCCCACCATCGGTGCAATACCCTACAGACACAAAAAGCATGTGGGTGACTTAGTCCATCTTCCTCCATCTGCACTAACTGTTCTCAGCCAGGTTTCCTCTGGAATTTGTTAGGGTTTCCCTGAGAATTAGTTAAATATATTATGTAGAAGGTAAGTGGAGGAATGGGAATGGACCTGATGTGGTAGGGGAGAGACCCAACTTGAAATGCTCCACCATCATTGCAATACCCCAGAGATGCAAAAAGCAAGTAGATGACTTTGTTTATTCTTCTCCATTCACCAATAGTCTTTCTCAATCCAGGGTTCTTCCAGAAGTTCCTTGAGAAGGAAGCAGTGGTAGGTTGATCTCCTGTCCACAGTGATGTACACCAATGCCACCAATGTATGGTGTCACTTGTTATAAATTTACTTTTTACATTTACATATATTAGGTAGAAGGTAGTGGGAGGAATGGATATGATGTTTTAGAAGGGCAAATGAGACTCAACTTTAAATACTCCCCCATCACTGCAATACCACAGAGACACAAAAAGCAAGTGGGTGACCTAGTCCACCTTCCATCATCTACCAATAGTCTTTCTCAACCAGGGTTCCTCCAGAAATTTAGAGTAGCCATTCTCAACCAGGATTCCTCCAGAAGTTCTTAAGGCAGCCATTCTCAACCGGGGTTCCCCCCAGAGATTTAGCGTAGCCATTCTTAACCAGGATTCTCCCAGAAGTTCTTAATGCAGCAATTCTTAACAAGGCTTCCTCCGGAAGGTGGTAGGGCAGCCATTCTCAACTAGGGTTCCTCCAGATGTTTTTAGGGCAGCCATTCTCAACCAGGGTTCCTCCAGATGTTTTTAGGGCAGCCATTCTCAACTAGGGTTTCTTCAGAAGTTTTTAGAGCAGCCATTCTCAACTAGGGTTTCTTCGGACGTTTTTGGAGCAGCCATTCTCAACTAGGGTTTCTTCAGAAGTTTTTGGAGCAGCCATTCTCAACCAGGGTTCATTCAGAAGTTGTTATGGCAGCCATTCTCATCCAGGGTTTAGTGAAACCCTAGGGTTCCTCCAGACTTTGCTGAGGGTTCGTTGAGCTGTGATTGATTAACCTTTCATTGACTGGTGACTGCACAGTTCCTGAACCAACACCGCCTGGCAAAGTCAGCTAGGTGACACCACTGATCTTTTTAGCTGTCTGCAAGGGTGGAATTCTGACCAGCACTGTGTAAGGGGCAATTTTCCCACTGATCTACAATCAGCTGGTTTAGCAGGGATTCAACGAGACCTGACAATTATTTCAAGGGTTCCTTTGGGGTAAAAGGTTGAGAAGACTGTGTTAGGCCTTTTTTGAGAAGAGAGCAGTGGTAGATTGACCTTGTGCCCACAATGATGTATACTATTACCACCAATATATGGGGTCATTTCTTAACTGACTACCAATATAATGAGGCACTACAGTTATCACTGTCTGTGTTCCTTTTCTGGCCTTTATTGTTGTTTAATGTCATGGTTATTACTAAAGATAGAGTGGGTGGGGTAAGGAGTAGTTACACCCAGTTCTTTATTCCTTATTAAAAACTCCCTACGACCTACTGATCATGCTAATGTATTTTGAGTTCTAAATAATATTTTAGTAGGGATTCCCTGAGACCTGAAAACTATTTCAAGGGTTTTTCCATAATAATAAGATTGAGTAAGTCTGATCTACACTATACGGCCAAACGTATGTTGACTCTAAATAGTAAATAAACAAAATGCATGGCACTCAAGATTTGTTGAAGGAAGTTTGCAGACATCTGCTTATGCAATCCAGAGATTCCCACAGGACATCCCACCATTTAGCCACATGCACAGGCATGGGTCTCATTGTTCCCCCCATCAAAAGTTACATTTCAGACTCACTAAAGATGAAGTCCAGAAACACTTACACTACTTGGAGTTTTGCAACAGAAACAGTCTATGGCCTGGGCTGTTTTAATATTTAGCCTTTGAAGTCTTCAGCAAAGAGTTTCAAGTCCTGTGAGAGTTCCCAGACTTTATTTCTACCTAGTGAGTCTTAAATGTATGTGGACACCTCAACATCACACAACAATAGGAGCTTATTGGACATCCCATTCCAAAACCATGGACATTAATATGGAGCTGGCCTCTCTTTGTGGCTCTAAAATCCTCCACTCTGCTGGGAAGACTTTCCACAAGATTTTGGGGGGTGTCTGTGGTAATTTGTGTCCATTTGTTAGGTCAGGTTTTGGATGAGAAGACCTAGCTCACCATCGGTGTTTCAGTTTATCCCAAAGGTGTTCAGTAGGTTTGAGGTCAGGACATGAGATCCTCCACATCAAGCTGTTCAAACCAAGTCTTTATGGAGATGTTGGTTTGAGAAGACCCGGCTCACTCTAGCTCTTCCCAAAGGTGTTCAGTAAGGTTGAGGTCAGGTACTGATGTTGGACGAGAAGGTCTGGCTCACCATTGGGTCTCCAATTCATCTCAAAGGTGTTCAGTAGGTTTGAGGTCAGGTATTGATGTTAGGTGAGAAGACCTGGATCACAACTTGTGTTCCAATCCATCCTAGAGGTGTTCAGTAGGGTTGAGGTCATCCATGTCTTGGAGTTGGCTTGGTACGCAGAGGACAATCATGGGGGAACAGAAATGGGTCTTCACCAAACACCAACCACAAGGTTAGAAGAGCACATTTGTAATCAATGAAGATAATGTGTTTGCATTAATGTCCATGGTTTTGGTAAGGGATGTCTAACAAGCTCAAGGTGTGACAGGCGTGATAAATTTTGGTCTTTCAACAGAACCTGTCACTTTGCCATAAATGGGCAATTGCAGAGACTCTCTTTGAAGGGGTGGATCCCCTGGCAAAACAATGTTGTTTGCTCAGTTCTTGTTTTCTGTTGCATCAAAGTGAACTGGCCAGCATGTTTGGGTGTGTTTGATGTTGCAGGTCATTTATTTTTATTGCTTTCCCTGGATCCACACCAGAAGGTGTCAGCCCATCACATGGTAAATGCATTACTGCTCCCAGCACATGTGTGTACCAGACCCCAAACTCCGGGGCTGTGTGTTCAGAACATCTGTGATGGGAACCCCACTTTTATTCTACCATTCTGAGCCCTGAATGCAGCCATATAGCCCTTTGTGTTTTGGAATGGTTGAGAATTTTGCGACACAATGTGCAAGTCCGGACGGACAGCAGTGTTTGCCCTGCAGTGAAATCCGCATTCTTTACACACTGTTAATGGATGAAGACAGGAGGCCGGGGATTCCGAAATCACTCTCTGATGATGGATCACAAACAATGTATATCACTAACCCTTTCACTTCACAGAGCCTTCAGAAATGTGGGTTTCCTAATGGAAACGTGGAGCAATGGCGGCATTTTTGGCATTGAAAGCCGAAGTTTAATCTGTTAATATTTTGCTTTTCCATAAAGTTATTAAAGTGTTCATTTCAGAAAACAATTAGAGCGTGCACTGCAGGGGCGGACTGACAACTCATGGGGCCCCTGGGCAATTGGGGATCATGGGGCCCCTCTGTCCTTGCCCACACTCACAACACACCCAAAAAAGCCTATAAAAGGTACCAGGGGCATTTTATGGGGCCCCCTGCTGACCCCGGGCCCTCGAGCAGTGCCTGAGTGCTCGAATGGTCAGTCCACCCCTGGTGCACTGACACCGCACACCCGTCCAACCGTTTTATTAATTACCCTGTTGGGATTAATAAAGTATTCTGAATCTGAAATAAAACCTCTTAAAATCTGTTTTTATTACACTCAGTGGTAGAGCCAGTGACATCATCACCAGATCTCTGTGGTTTTTTTTATTCAATGGCGGCAGATCGTGGCAGGTGGGAGGGCCGGGCAGGTGCTGTACATAAAAACAGAAAACGGTGGTAACACTTTTAGAAGATGCTGAGCCTCCATGATTGAAAGAACTGAAATCCAAGGAATGAAAGGGGCAGGTCAGGCAACGACTGGGGAGGAAAGAGCTAGATAATGCTGGATGTCCTCCAGCCAGAGATGAGCTCTATCTTGCTGCAGTTTATAATGCACATTGTGAGAAGCTCACAGTGTGCAGTGACATCAGAGTAAGCCATTTCAGTCCAGGAGAGCTGCCGATACACCTGTGCAAGACTGAAGGGGAGGAGCCAATATACCTGTGCAAGATTGAAGGGGAGGAGCCAATACACCTATGCAAGATGGAAGGGGAGGAGCCACTGGTACACCTGTGCAAGACTGAAGGGGAGGAGCTGGTACACCTGTGCAAGACGGAAGGGGAGGAGCCACCGGTACACCTGTGCAAGACTGAAGGGGAGGAGCTGGTACACCTGTGCAAGACGGAAAGGGAGGAGCCAATACACCTGTGCAAGACGGAAGGGGAGGAGCCAATACACCTGTGCAAGACGGAAGGGGAAGAGCCACCGGTACACCTGTGCAAGACTGAAGGGGAGGAGCTGGTACACCTGTGCAAGATGGGAAGGGGAGGAGCCACCGGTACACATGTGCAAGACTGAAGGGGAGGAGCCAGTACACCTGTTTAGGATTGAAGGGGAGGAGCCGGTACACCTATGCAAGACTGAAGGGGAGGAGCCAGTGCACCCATGCAAGACTGAAGGGGAGGAGCCAGTACACCTGTTCACGATTGAAGGGGAGGAGCTGGTAAAACTGTGCAAGACTGAAGGGGAGGAGCCAGTGCACCCATGCAAGACTGAAGGGGAGGAGCTGGTACACCTGTGCAAGACTGAAGGATAGGAGCTGGTACACCTGTGCAAGATGGAAGGGGAGGAGCCAGTGCACCCATGCAAGGCTGAAGGGGGAGGAGCCAGTATACCTGTGCAAGACAGAAGTTGAGGATGGAGGGAGGATTTAAAGTAAACCAGTCACTATGAAAAACAAATCAAAGTGACATATTTGCCAGGCAGCAGGAAACACTGACACCATGTAAATGTAAAAACAAATCTGTTAAAAAGCAGCACGGCCAAATTCAGGGGGATTATCATAGGGCTTCTGGACAGGCCTGTCATCTGTCATACAGTTCTGTGAGCAGGGGGTGGTGAGCCGGGGAAGACTCTGGCCTATTCATACAGTTCCCATGATTCTGACAATCAGGCCTGTGTAGATAAAGGGAAACACACGGCCTATATCAGTGCAGCAGGTCAATGCTGTCAGGTCTGAACCATAAAACATCTCAGTTCCCAAGATGCAACTCCCCCATCCTCCAGTCGCTCTTTGTTCCTTGCTCTGGTGGTGGGAGGACACAGATGCGGTGGGCAGAGATGTACAATTTTTAGTGTCAGATATTGAGCTGCACATTAGCTCTTCTCTCGCTGCGTAAGGAGGTTAATGCCTTTGGCTACAAAGGAGGAGCGGCGCAGACACTGGCAGGATGATGTGTCAGAGAATGTCGTGTGCTGGCAATGCCGCCTCCGTAGAGAAAGTCCAAGGATTCTGCTGATGTCATCAGTATGATTCACACTGCTGCTTGGTTGTACCAATCCCTACGAAATCGTATTATCACCACTTGTGTCATAACCTGGGGTAAGGTAGCGTCCATTGAGCTGTACCCTGGAGCAAGGTAGAGTCCATTGAGCCGTACCCTGGAGAAAGGTATCGTCCATTGAGCTGTAATCTGGGGTAAGGTAGCGTCCATTGAGCTGTACCCTGGAGCAAGGTAGAGTCCATTGAGCCGTACCCTGGAGAAAGGTATTGTCCATTGAGCCGTACCCTGGGGTAAGGTAGCGTCCATTGAGCTGTACCCTGGAGCAAGGTAGCGTCCATTGAGCCGTATCCTGGAGCAAGGTAGCGTCCATTGAGCTGTACCCTGGAGCAAGGTAGCATCCATTGAGCTGTACCCTGGAGCAAGGTAGCGTCCATTGAGCTGTTCCCTGGAGCAAGGTAGCGTCCATTGAGCCGTACCCTGGAGCAAGGTAGCGTCCATTGAGCCGTACCCTGGAGCAAGGTAGCGTCCATTGAGCTGTACCCTGGAGCAAGGTAGCGTCCTTTGAGCCGTACCCTGGAGCAAGGTAGCATCCATTGAGCTGTACCCTGGAGCAAGGTAGCGTCCTTTGAGCCGTACCCTGGAGCAAGGTAGCGTCCATTGAGCTGTACCCTGGAGCAAGGTATCATCCATTGTGCTGTACCCTGGAGCAAGGTAGCGTCCATTGTGCTGTACCCTGGAGCAAGGTAGCGTCCATTGTGCTGTACCCTGGAGCAAGGTATTGTCCATTGAGCTGTACCCTGGAGCAAGGTAGCGTCCATTGTGCTGTACCCTGGAGCAAGGTAGCGTCCATTGAGCTGTACCCTGGAGCAAGGTAGCGTCCATTGTGCTGTACCCTGGAGCAAGGTATTGTCCATTGAGCTGTACCCTGGAGCAAGGTAGCGTCCATTGAGCTGTACCCTGGAGCAAGGTAGCGTCCATTGAGCTGTAACCCAGGTCAAGGTAGTGTCCATTGAGCTGTACCCCAGGGCAAGGTAGCAACAATAGAGCCATATGATGGGGCAAGGTTGAATCCACTGAGGCATATTCCAGGGCAAGGAAGTGTCAGTTGAGCTGTACCCTGGGGCAGGATCCACAGAGCTATACACTTGAACAAGATAGCATGTGTTAAGTTGTGCCCTGAGGCAATGCACTTTCCATTGAGCCATACCCCGGGGCATAGGTAGCGTCTGTTGTCATACCCTTGGGCTAGTCAGCGTCCATTGAGCCATATCCTCGGGCATGGAATCATCCATTGAGCCCTACACTGGAGCAAGGTAGCAGCCATTAAACTGTACCCTGGGGTAAGGTAGCAACCATTCAGCTGTAAACTGAGGCAAGGTAGCATCCAATGAGCTGTACTCTGGGGTAAAGTAGTAACCGTTGAGTAGTACATTGGTGCAAGGTAGCAACTATTGAGATATACGCTGGGGCAAGGTAGAACCTACTGAGCCATATCCCAGGACAAGGAAGTGTCCATTGAGCAGTACCCTGGGGCAGGGCCCACAGAGCTATACACTTGAACAAGGTAGCATTTGTTAAGTTGGGCTCTGGGGCAATGCACTTTCCACTGAGCCATACCCTCGGGCAACATAGTGTCCATTGAGCCATACCCTGGGGCAAGGTAATGTTCACTGAGCTGCATATGGAGCAAGGTAGCATGCACTGAGCTGCCCCCTGGGTAAAGGTACCATCATTTTCCTCCTGCTTGACAGTGCTGGTATTTGGTACCAAACCCAAAAAATGGATATTCCCACCAGAGTGTAACTTTGGCTCCCTGGGAAAGTTAGCTTGAGTTGAGCCAAACCCTGTGGGCAAGGTTGCATCCGCTGAGCTATACCCGGGGCAAGGTTGCATCCACTGAGCTATACCCGGGGGCAAGGTTGCATCCACTGAGCTATACCCGGGGGCAAGGTTGCATCCACTGAGCTATACCCGGGGGCAAGGTTGCATCCACTGAGGAATATCCGGGGGCAAGGTTGCATCCACTGAGCTATACCTGGGGGCAAGGTTCCATCCACTGAGCTATACCCGGGGCAAGGTTGCATCCACTGAGGAATATCCGGGGGCAAGGTTGCATCCACTGAGCTATACCCGGGGGCAAGGTTCCATCCACTGAGCTATACCCGGGGGCAAGGTTGCATCCACTGAGCTATACCCGGGGGCAAGGTTGCATTAACTGAGCTATACCTGTGGGCAAGGTTGCATCCACTGAGCTGTAACCGGGGGCAAGGTTGCATCCACTGAGGAATACCCGGGGGCAAGGTTGCATCCACTGAGCTATACCCGGGGGCAAGGTTGCATCCACTGAGGGATACCCGGGGAAAGGTTGCATCCACTGAGGGATACCCGGGGAAAGGTTGCATCCACTGAGCGATACCCGGGGGGCAAGGTTGCATCCACTGAGCTATACCCGGGGGGCAAGGTTGCATCCACTGAGGGATACCCGGGGCAAGGTTGCATCCACTGAGGGATACCCGGGGCAAGGTTGCATCCACTGAGGGATACCCTCAAGGAGACAAGACTGCAGACTACAAGTGGCTCTCTCAACACGTCACATAAGCAAGAATCCCACCCTGAGAAATGTCATGCAGCCATTGCTGGAATGCATGTAGACAAGAAGTGGCTGCAAAGAGGCTGTGGGAGATCAGCAGCACTGAGATGTAACAAAGGATGAATAAAGGTGAACACAATATTTCATCAAATAGAAAATAGCAATTTATGATACTTTAGCAAATTAAATGTCACTCAGGTCAGCTGATCTCCTTCACATGAATGTAAAACTGAAAGGACTTTAGGTCCTCCTAACGAGGTTATCAGACGTAGTTACTTTGCACCAATTCACTTTGTTACTATACCATAACTGCTCTTTGTGATGCTTTAATTGATAAGCCACTTTGTGTCACATGACCCCCCCCCCCCCCCCCCTTGGGAACGCTTCACTAGCTAATTACGTAGATGAAAGGTTTGGGAAGACAAAGAGCCATCTTCAGGAAGGACTTTGTGATGAGTGCCTACAGAAGGGACCTTTGTATCCCCAACAGACGGCAGCGTTGATTCCATGTGATAATAATTTAAAGGGGATTTCATTAACCGTAATATATGTATGGAGGAAAAAAAAAAAATCCAACTGTTACTGCAACGCAACGGTTTGAATTGTCCCTAGAAGCTACCACCAGGGTGCTTGTAGTAACACTTTATTTGGTTAGCGGCCGGGTTGTCTAACTGTCTAACATCTACCAAACAGTGGAATTTGAGTTTCAGATGGAGTGACCCTTCACCACACACCAGCCAATCAATGTATGTGGTTTCAGCAGAACAGTGTATGGGATGCACAAACCACCACAGGTACTGGCAAGGAAGGTTCCATCCATCCAAAAGACAAAAATCATGGCTGTGACCAACAAAGGACACAAAAAAATAAAACTAATGATTGACAATGAAAGGAAAACAAATAACCAACTTCAGTTTCCTTACAATACAGATCAATGGAAACATGAAGAACAAAGTTGACGTCAGAACTGAAATCGTCAAGGCCAAAGTTTCTGGAGGAACAAAGAGCTGATGAGGAACAATCTCCCTCTAGATACAAGTAAAAGATCGCTACAAAGTCTGGTCCATTCTCAAATATACAAAGATATCTTTTTCCCTCACAATGTCTCTAAAGAGGATTAAAGAGGAGGTTCTCGAAAATCGGCTGGATGGACAAGGAGACCAATGAAGAGGTGTTGAAAAGGGTCAGTGCAGCAAGACCACATCTGTTGAGAGCAATATTAAAATGAAAAGGCCAATTTTCTTGTCATATTACAAGAAACTCGACAAGAGAGAAGGTATGCAAGATTGTGGAAGAAAGTAAGGGGAAGAAAGGGAAAGGGAGAAGAACATGGTGAACCTCAAACTTGGAACCTTGCTTCCACCATTGCTTTCCATGTGACTTTGTCTTTTTCCAGATTAATGTTCTGCTTTACGGCACGACTGCCTGCAGTTTCCTGGATGAAGTCCATCCTTCATGTCCACCATGTTCTTCTCCCATATTACAAGGAACTGGAAGTTGGTTACCTGCTCTATTCTTTCATTTTCAAGCATTAGTTGTACTTCTTTGTGTCCTTAGTTGGTTACAACCATGATTTGTACAGGCAGCTGTGACATAAAGCAGAACATTAACCTTGATAAATACAAATGGAACGCAGTGGCAGAAGCAAGGTTCCAAGATTGAGGTTCTCCTCCGCCAGGGTGCCCAGGCGTCCTGAAGTGCCTTCAGTTTTCTTCAGGGGTGCCTTGAAAAAATGCGCAAAAATTGCCCACAAATTGTGTACAAGCCAGCAGGTGGGTCACGCCTGCCTTTTAGTTAAACAAAAACACAGGTTTTCATTGTGTACCATTACTACTTTCCAACCAAAGACCACAAGTGTCCATGGTAGAGGCAATGGTAACCACCATGGAAGATAACCTGCTGCCGCCATCACTGAGGCTCCAGTATACAGGCATGATGAGATGTATATACAATTCTCATAGGATAAACTAATATACCACCTTATCTCCATAGAAATGAGACGTGCCTGGCAGTACTCGGGTTGTTGGTTCAAATCCCATTCATGGCACCACCTGGATGGAGTTTGCATGTTCTCCCTGTGCCTGCATGGGTTTCCTATGGGTACTCCAGTTTCCTCCAACACTCCAAAGACATGCTGGTAGGTGAATTGGCTCCTGTCTAAATTGGCCCTAGTATTTATTTATTACAGGAACCTTATATAGCACCATCAATTTGCGCAGCGCTTTACATATATATTGTACATTCACATCAGTCCCTAACCCTCAAGCGGCGTACAATCTAAGGGCCCTAACTCACATTCATACATACATATACTAGGGCCAATTTAGACAGGATCCAATTAACCTACCAGCATGTCTTTGGAATGTGGGAGGAAACCGGAGCACCTAAGAAAACCCACACAGGCACAGGGAGAACATGCAGAACATGATGCCGTGGTTCGGATTTGAACCAACAATCCTAGTACAGCCAGGTAGAAGTGCAAACCATTTAGCCACAGTTCTGCCCCATATATGTATATATGAATGTGAGTCAGGGACTTTAGATTGTATGACCCTTGAGGGTTAGGGACTGATGTGAAATGCTCAAAAGAATTAAAGGAACACTTTTTAATCAGAGTCTGGCATCAAGTCAATGAAACTCCTGGGATATTGATCTGGTCGGTTAGGTAGCAGAGGGGATTGTTAATCAGCTTCAGCTGCTTTGATGTTAATGAAAAATGACCTCCAGCAGGCCACTGGTGGGAAGGTCTCTGACCAAACAATCAGAAACAGACTTCATGAGGGTGGCCTGAGGGCCCGACGTCCTCTAGTGGGCCCCTGTGCTCACTGCCCGGCACCATAGAGCTAGATTGGCATTTGCCATTGAACCCCAGAATTGGCCGGTCCACCACTGGCGCCCTGTGCTTTTCCAGGTTCACCCTGAGCACATGTGACAGACGTGAAAGGGTCTGGAGAAGCCGTGGAGAACGTTCTGCTGCCTGTAACATGGTTCAGCATGACCGTTCTGGTGGTGGGTCAGTGATGGTCTGGGGGGGCATCTCCATGGAGGGACACACAGACCTCTACAGGCTAGACAATGGCACCCCTGACTGCTATTAGGTATCGGGATGAAATCCTTGTCAGACCCTATGCTGGTACAGTGGGCCCTGGGTTCTTCCTGGTGCAGAGGGTCCTGGGTTCCTCCTGGTGCGGTGGGTCCTGGGTTCCTCCTGGTGCGGTGGGTCCTGGGTTCCTCCTGGTGCAGGGGGTCCTGGGTTCCTCCTGGTGCGGTGGGTCCTGGGTTCCTCCTGGTGCGGTGGGTCCTGGGTTCCTCCTGGTGCGGTGGGTCCTGGGTTCCTCCTGGTGCGGTGGGTCCTGGGTTCCTCCTGGTGCGGTGGGTCCTGGGTTCCTCCTGGTGCGGTGGGTCCTGGGTTCCTCCTGGTGCGGTGGGTCCTGGGTTCCTCCTGGTGCGTGGGTCCTGGGTTCCTCCTGGTGCAGGGGGTCCTAGGTTCCTCCTTGTGCAGTGGGTTCTGGGTTACTCCTGGTGCAGACAATGCCCAGCCTCATGTGGGGAGAGTATGCAGGCAGTTCCTGGAGGATGAAGGAATTGATACCATTGAATGGCCTCCAGGCTCACCTGACCTAAATCCAATAGAACCCCTCTGGGATGTCATGTTTCGGTCCATCCGATGCCACCAGGTTGCACCTCAGACTGTCCAGAAGCTCAGTGATGTCCTGGTCCAGATCTGGGAGGAAATCCCCAGGACACCATCCGTGGTCTCATTAGGACCCTCCCCCGACGTTGTCAGGCATGTATACAAGCACGTGGGGGCCACACAGACTACTGAGGGCCATTCTGAGTTGCTGCAATGACATTTCACCAAAATGGACTCGCCTGCTGCATCATTTCTTCACTTTGTTTTTCGGGGTGTCTTTGAATTCATTAAACAATGGGGCAGGGGTGGACTGACAATTAATGGGGCCCCTGGGCAATAGGAGATCATGGGGCCCCTGTGTCCTTCCCCAAGCTCAAAAAAGCCTATGAAAAAGGTACCAGGGGCATCTCATGGGGCCCCCTACTGACCCCGGGCCCTCGGGCAGTGCCCGAATTTCCAAATGGTCAGTCCGCCCCTGCGATGGGGCATCCTTACGTTCCTCCCCCATCCCCCGTCCATGTCAGTATAGAGGTCCAGCAGGAGACTTCTCCCCATTGAGATCTGATTGGTTCTCAGAGTCTTCCTTTCACTTATATGAGCCGTGAATATGTAAAGTGCTGTGTAGATTGACGGCTCTATATAATTACCAGAAACCTTCTCCTAAAGAGAACATCAATAGGCATTGGCCTGACACATCTGCTTCTATGTAGGTGAGTGACATAAAATCAACCAATGACTAAAGAGGTAAAACCAATGTGATTCCTACATCTCCACTACTTAATGGTCCTCTCATTTATTTTTCATAAAAAACATTTTTTACTGTGTTTTTCCGCCTCCTTGTAAAGTCCTCTGTGAGGCCACGTGTGCGCATATGTTGCTGCTCTCTGCCAGGCCCAAGATACCTGGAAGGTGCCGGCGGCACAAGATTTCAGCACAGCAGTTACAGGGATTGGGCAAGTGAGGAAAACCATAATACTAGCGTTGGGCTTTCATTTGTTTGTTATTATTATTATACAGGATTTATGGCGCCAACAGTGTGCTCAGCGCTGTACAATATAACGGGAGACAATACAGCAACAATACAGATCAATACAAGAGGGATAGGAGGGCCTGATCCTGGGAGCTTACAATCTAGGAGGGAGGGGCTAGTGGTACAAAAGGTAGTGACTGTGGGGGATGGACTGGTAGGAGGAATAGAAGATTCCATTATTAGCTGAGGGCAGGATAGGCTTCCCTGAAGAGATCAGTTTTCAGAGATCGCCTAAAAGTGAGCAGAGTAGGCGATAGTCTGATAGATTGGGGTAGAGAATTCCAGAGGATGAGGGAAGCTCTGGAGAAATCCTGGAGACGAGCATGGGAGGAGGAGACAAGGGAGCTAGAGAGTAGGAAGTCTTGCGAGGAGCGGAGAGGATGGTTTGGGTGATATTTAGAGACAAGATTGGTGATGTCATTTGGGGCGGAGTTATAAATGTCTTTATACGTTATTGTTAATGTTTTGAATTTTATCCGTTGGGCAACGGGAAGCCAGTGGAGGGATTGGCAGAGAGGGGTGGAGGACACTGAATGGAGGCCAGTGGAGGGATTGGCAGAGAGGGGTGGAGGACACTGAATGGAGGTCAGTGGAGGGATTGGCAGAGAGGGGTGGAGGACACTGAATGGAGGTCAGTGGAGGGATTGGCAGAGAGGGGTGGAGGACACTGAATGGAGGCAAGTGAAGGGATTGGCAGAGAGGGGTGGAGGTCAGTGGAGGGATTGGCAGAGAGGGGTGGAGGACACTGAATGGAGGTCAGTGGAGGGATTGGCAGAGAGGGGTGGAGGACACTGAATGGAGGTCAGTGGAGGGATTGGCAGAGAGGGGTGGAGGACACTGAATGGAGGCAAGTGGAGGGATTGGCAGAGAGGGGTGGAGGTCAGTGAGGGATTGGCAGAGAGGGGTGGAGGACACTGAATGGAGGTCAGTGGAGGGATTGGCAGAGAGGGGTGGAGGACACTGAATGGAGGTCAGTGGAGGGATTGGCAGAGAGGGGTGGAGGACACTGAATGGAGGCAAGTGAAGGGATTGGCAGAGAGGGGTGGAGGTCAGTGGAGGGATTGGCAGAGAGGGGTGGAGGACACTGAATGGAGGTCAGTGGAGGGATTGGCAGAGAGGGGTGGAGGACACTGAATGGAGGTCAGTGGAGGGATTGGCAGAGAGGGGTGGAGGACACTGAATGGAGGCAAGTGGAGGGATTGGCAGAGAGGGGTGGACGTCAGTGAGGGATTGGCAGAGAGGGGTGGAGGACACTGAATGGAGGTCAGTGGAGGGATTGGCAGAGAGGGGTGGAGGACACTGAATGGAGGTCAGTGGAGGGATTGGCAGAGAGGGGTGGAGGACACTGAATGGAGGCCAGTGGAGGTATTGGCAGAGAGGGGTGGAGGACACTGAATGGAGGCCAGTGGAGGGATTGGCAGAGAGGGGTGGAGGTCAGTGGAGGGATTGGCAGAGAGGGGTGGAGGACACTGAATGGAGGTCATTGGAGGGATTGGCAGAGAGGGGTGGAGGACACTGAATGGAGGCCAGTGGAGGGATTGGCAGAGAGGGGTGGAGGACACTGAATGGAGGCCAGTGGAGGGATTGGCAGAGAGGGGTGGAGGACACTGAATGGAGGCCAGTGGAGGGATTGGCAGAGAGGGGTGGAGGACACTGAATGGAGGCCAGCGGAGGGATTGGCAGAGAGGGGTGGCTGATACAGAACGGTTAGTAAGGTGGATGAGTCTGGCAGCTTTTTACTAAAGTCAATTTAAAACTACAGTACATGCCCACCTGAGACTTCCGTGTCCACAGGGTGACAACACTGCTGAGCGATTTTACTGCAGAACGAACAGCGTTGTCACCTTGTTACAGGAAGTGGAGGAACAAAGTATTTACGGGCAGGATCAGCAGGCAATATTACTGGAGGCAGACTGCATCATATATTATACGATTGTTCATTTCCTCTTTAGTCCCTCAAGAACACAGGCTGCCCCCCACTGCCATGTGCGGCTCATTAGCATGTCCCAGCGACATTCCCATTGGCTGTTGGCTGCGGTATGGAAATGGATGAGACTATCCATGCCCCGTGTAATTATGGAGGAAAGATGTTCTTCTGTTTTGATCCGACAGCTGACTCACGTGTTCTGTTCTTCCAGAGACAAACATGTCGTCCCTCCCAGTCCTCCATCCCCATGACTGATGACAAAGGCCCATTGATTAGCAGACTTGATAGTTCTCGTAAAGTGAAGGAAGAGGTAGGTGGAGGAGTCGGCCGTCAGACGACTTCACACGTTTGCTGAAGGTTTCCACATACACAGGAAACTGTTGTTACGCAGAGAGGTTAGACAACTCTGAGACTCACCCCCAGAACGTCCCTCACCCATCTGCACATCTATGGCCTGCTCTGCGGGACGTGGAAGACGTCGGTGGAGACGCATGGAGGGCTCACCAGTCCAATATGAAGAGCGTTCCTTAGAAGCTGTCTCAGCCGTGGTTCTGCGTGACGCACTTCCATGGGCACAGCGGTCCAATCATTGGAACGGGTCGCTCTGCGGGACGTGGAAGACGTGGAGACGCATGGAGGGCTCACCAGTCCAATATGAAGAGCGTTCCTTAGAAGCTGTCTCAGCCGTGGTTCTGCGTGACGCACTTCCATGGGCACAGCGGTCCAATCATTGGAACGGGTCGCTCTGCGGGACGTGGAAGACGTGGAGACGCATGGAGGGCTCACCAGTCCAATATGAAGAGCGTTCCTTAGAAGCTGTCTCAGCCGTGGTTCTGCGTGACGCACTTCCATGGGCACAGCGGTCCAATCATTGGAACGGGTCACCATGCCGCTCCACCTTTTCTAATACAGGGCTGCATGGAAACCACGCGGTGCTTTGGCACCACACCTCGATATTCAGTGCATGGAAGTGCCATTAGGAGTTCCTGGAACCCCCCACATTTTATTAAAAGCAGCGTGTTTTCTGCGTGATTGAGGGAACACGTGAGATTTACATGCAGCACCCGATGTCACCCTAGCCTTAAAGTGTTATTAAACCCCCAACAGTACAATCCGTCTGTCGAGGCAGCAAAGCATGCTGGTTATACTCACTGTGGGACCTAAGGGGTTAACCCTTCACTTTGTGTAAAAAGGCTGTTTGATCCTGTCTTCTCTGATCCTCCCCTTCTTCTACTGTCCCCAATCCATCTGCTGATGGTACAGAGCTTTAGAAGCCACTCATGCTCAGTTTGGTGTGTATGGCTGGAGAGGTTTTTGTTTTTCTTTGGGAAAGTACATGTAATCAGCACAGGGGCCAATCAGCACTGTCCAAACAGAAGGTCAGGGGTCATACAGCCTCATAGGACAGTCAGGGGAGAATGAAAACTCCTCCTACACGCTTTAACCAGTGCTGGGCTTGACACTGATAGAAGTCACTGTTATATACTGCTGATGAGAAAAGGTATCTGGTGAGACCAGATATAGTGAATGCGGGGTCCGAGAAGAGCGGATATATTGAATGCGGGGTCCGGGAAGAGCGGATGTAGGGAATGCGGGGTCCGGGGAGAGCGGATATAGTGAATGCGGGGTCCGAGAAGAGCGGATATATTGAATGCGGGGTCCGGGGAGAGCGGATATAGTGAATGCGGGGTCCGGGGAGAGCGGATATAGTGAATGCGGGGTCCGGGGAGAGCGGATATAGTGAATGAGGGGTCCGGGGGGAGAGGATATAGGGAATGTGGGGTCCGGGAAGAGCGGATGTAGGGAATGCGGGGTCCGGGGAGAGCGGATATAGTGAATGCGGGGTCCGGGGAGAGCGGATACAGTGAATGCGGGGTCCGGGGAGAGGGGATATAGTGAATGCGGGGTCCGGGGAGAGGGGATATAGTGAATGCGGGGTCCGGGGAGAGGGGATATAGTGAATGCGGGGTCCGGGGAGAGCGGATATAGTGAATGCGGGGTCCGGGGACAGCGGATATAGTGAATGCGGGGTCCGGGGAGAGCGGATATAGTGAATGCGGGGTCCGGGGAGAGCGGATATAGTGAATGCGGGGTCCGAGGAGAGCGGATATAGTGAATGCGGGGTCCGGGGAGAGCGGATATAGTGAATGCGGGGTCCGGGGAGGGCGGATATAGTGAATGCAGGTTCCGGGGAGAGCGGATATAGTGAATGCGGGGTCCGGGGAGAGCGGATATAGTGAATGCGGGGTCCGGGGAGAGCGGATATAGTGAATGCGGGGTCCGGGGAGGGCGGATATAGTGAATGCAGGTTCCGGGGAGAGCGGATATAGTGAATGCGGGGTCCGGGGAGAGCGGATATAGTGAATGCGGGGTCCGGGGAGAGCGGATATAGTGAATGCGGGGTCCGGGGAGAGGGGATATAATGAATGCGGGGTCCGGGAAGAGCGGATATAGTGAATGCGGGGTCCGGGGAGGGCGGATATATTGAATGCGGGGTCCGGGGAGAGCGGATATAGTGAATGCGGGGTCCGGGGAGAGCGGATATAGTGAATGCGGGGTCCGGGGAGAGCGGATATAGTGAATGAGGGGTCCGGGGGGAGAGGATATAGGGAATGTGGGGTCCGGGAAGAGCGGATGTAGGGAATGCGGGGTCCGGGGAGAGGGGATATAATGAATGCGGGGTCCGGGGAGAGCGGATATAGTGAATGCGGGGTCCGGGGAGAGCGGATACAGTGAATGCAGGGTCCGGGGAGAGCGGATACAGTGAATGCGGGGTCCGGGGAGAGCGGATATAGTGAATGCGGGGTCCGGGGAGAGCGGATACAGTGAATGCGGGGTCCGGGGAGAGCGGATACAGTGAATGCGGGGTCCGGGGAGAGCGGATATAGTGAATGCGGGGTCCGGGGAGAGCGGATACAGTGAATGCGGGGTCCGGGGAGAGCGGATATAGTGAATGCGGGGTCCGGGGAGAGCGGATATAGTGAATGCGGGGTCCGGGGAGAGCGGATACAGTGAATGCGGGGTCCGGGGAGAGCGGATATAGTGAATGCGGGGTCCGGGGAGAGCGGATATAGTGAATGCGGGGTCCGGGGAGAGCGGATATAGTGAATGCGGGGTCCGGGGAGAGCGGATATAGTGAATGCGGGGTCCGGGGAGAGGGGATATAATGAATGCGGGGTCCGGGAAGAGCGGATATAGTGAATGCGGGGTCCGGGGAGGGCGGATATATTGAATGCGGGGTCCGGGGAGAGCGGATATAGTGAATGCGGGGTCCGGGGAGAGCGGATATAGTGAATGCGGGGTCCGGGGAGAGCGGATATAGTGAATGAGGGGTCCGGGGGGAGAGGATATAGGGAATGTGGGGTCCGGGAAGAGCGGATGTAGGGAATGCGGGGGGTCCGGGGAGAGGGGATATAATGAATGCGGGGTCCGGGGAGAGCGGATATAGTGAATGCGGGGTCCGGGGAGAGCGGATACAGTGAATGCAGGGTCCGGGGAGAGCGGATACAGTGAATGCGGGGTCCGGGGAGAGCGGATATAGTGAATGCGGGGTCCGGGGAGAGCGGATACAGTGAATGCGGGGTCCGGGGAGAGCGGATACAGTGAATGCGGGGTCCGGGGAGAGCGGATATAGTGAATGCGGGGTCCGGGGAGAGCGGATACAGTGAATGCGGGGTCCGGGGAGAGCGGATATAGTGAATGCGGGGTCCGGGGAGAGCGGATATAGTGAATGCGGGGTCCGGGGAGAGCGGATATAGTGAATGCGGGGTCCGGGGAGAGCGGATACAGTGAATGCGGGGTCCGGGGAGAGTGGATATAGTGAATGCGGGGTCCGGGGAGAGCGGATATAGTGAATGCGGGGTCCGGGGAGAGCGGATATAGTGAATGCGGGGTCCGGGGAGAGCGGATATAGTGAATGCGGGGTCCGGGGAGAGGGGATATAGTGAATGCGGGGTCCGGGGAGAGCGGATATAGTGAATGCGGGGTCCGGGGAGAGCAGATATAGTGAATGCGGGGTCCGGGGAGAGCGGATATAGTGAATGCGGGGTCCGGGGAGAGCGGATATAGTGAATGCGGGGTCCGGGGAGAGGGGATATAGTGAATGCGGGGTCCGGGGAGAGCGGATATAGTGAATGCGGGGTCCGGGGAGAGCGGATATAGTGAATGCGGGGTCCGGGGAGAGCGGATATAGTGAATGCGGGGTCCGGGGAGAGCGGATATAGTGAATGCGGGGTCCGGGGAGAGCGGATACAGTGAATGCGGGGTCCGGGGAGAGTGGATATAGTGAATGCGGGGTCCGGGGAGAGCGGATATAGTGAATGAGGTGTCTGGGGTTTAGTACCACTTTAAGCCAGCCATAGTTGGGTCGAAGCTCACCTGGTTCAGTAGGGACTGGCTGAGACTTGATCCATCTATGGGCAGGCTGATTGTACCCAAGACGTTCCATCGATCGATCGACTTGGGGACAACCAGCCTATCGTATTATGGCCCATAGCTATAGCCGCTAGCAGTAATCATTGTGTTTTGTCGGCTGGGAAAACCCTCCGCTGACTGTGTTGATGGGCAGTCGAGAGATTTTATTTTTATTCCACCACGGGTGATTGATTCATCTATGGCTTGCCTTAAGGATGAAGTTTAATAGGATTATATTTTGCTTTCTCTGGTCCCCATCCAGGGGCGGACTGACCATTTGGAAACTTGGGCACTGCCCGAGGGTCTGGGGCAGTAGGGGGACCCATGAGATGCCCCTGGTACCTTTTTCATAGGCTTTTTTGAGTTTGGGCAAGGACACAGGTGCCCCGTGAT